TCTAGGCCCGAAACGTCAGCCTTCCTGCTCCTCTAATGCTGCTTGACCTGCTGTGTTCATCCAGCTCTACACCTTGTTATCTCAGATTCTCCAGCATCTGCAGTTCCTACTATCTCAAAGACAAAATGAGTATTGCTTCTGGTCAATAATATGCTTCAGAGATTAAATTTTATTTTACGTTTATACTATCATAAAATGCCATGATTGGCATTCACTGGGACAGGGTTAAGCCAGTAAATGGAAAATGCCAATTAGTGAATAGGATTGTTGTATGAGACCATAACGTGTAGGAGTAGAAGTAGGCCATTCAGCCCATTGAGTCTGCTCCATTATTTAATGACATCATAGCTGATCTCACGATCCTCAACCCCACTTACCTATTTTTTCCCCACTACCCTTGATTCCCTTATTGATTAAATATGTTGAATATACTTAACAACCCAGACTCAACAGCCCTCTGCAGCAGGGAATTCCACAGATTCACTACCCTCTGAGAGAAGAAATTTCTCACCTCTGTCTTAAGTGGATGAGCCCTTACTCTGAGATTTTGTCTTCTAGTCCTAGCCTCTTGCACAAGGGGATACAATCTTTCCACATCTACTCTGTCAAGTTCCTTAAGAATCTTACATGCTTCAATAAGGTTGCCTCTCATCCTTTAAACTCAAGTGAATACAGGCCTATCCTATTCGACCTCTCCTCATAAGACAATTCCTCCATATGTGGAATCAACTTAGTGAACCTTCTCTGGATTGCCTCCAATATCATTATATCTTTCCTTACAAAAGGGAACCACACATTTCCGAAGTTCAGTAATGAATATCATTCTCAATACATGATCAAAGCATTGCTCCACGATGGGTTGGGAATACACTGACATTATGGCAGTGGTATAACAATCATTTCTGTACCCCCCCAATCCTCCTCTTCCTCACGCCTTCCATCCTTGTGTCATGAATTGGATAAGAGTGATTTCTGCTTACATGTACTGGTTTCAACTTCTCTGAAGGCATGTCAGAACAGATAAGTCATTTTAAATAAATATCCTCAAGAGAGTATTGGATGATTATTTGGATAGAAATAATGTGCAAAGTTATGGGGGAAAGCAGCAGAGTATCAGGAGGTGGTGATGCTCATTTGAAGAGCTGGTGCAGACATGATGGGCTGAATGACCTCTTTCTGCATCCTAACATAAGAACATAAGAACTAGGAGCAGGAGTAGGCCATCTGGCCCCTCGAGCCTGCCCCGCCATTCAATAAGATCATGGCTGATCTTTTTGAGACTCAGCTCCACCTACCCACCCACTCACCATAACCCTTAATTCCTTTACTGTTCAAAAATTTATCTAACCTTGCCTTAAAAACATTCAGTGAGGTAGCTTCAACCGCTTCACTGGACAGGGAATTCCACAGAATCACAACCCTTTGGGTGAAGAAGTTCCTCCTGACCTCAGTCCTACATCTGCTTCCCTTTATTTTGAGGCTATGCCCCCCCAGTCCTCGTTTCACCTGCTAGTGGAAACAACCTCCCTGCCTCCACCTTATCTATTTCCTTCATAATCTTATATGTTTCTATAAGATCTCCCCTCATTCTTCTGAATTCCAATGAGTATAATCCCAGCCTACTCAGTCTCTCCTCATAATCCAACCCTCTCAACTCTGGAATCAACCGAGTGAATCTCCTCTGCATCCCCTCCAGTGCTAATATATCCTTTCTCAAGTAAGGAGACTCAAAACTGCACACAGTACTCCAGGTGTGGCCTCACCAAGACCCTATACAGCTGCAGCATAGCCTCCCTGTTTTTAAACTCCATCCCTCGAGCAATGGCAGACAAAATTCCATTTGCCTTTTTAATCACCTGCTGCACCTACAATCCCACCTTCAGCGATTCATGCACAAGAACACCCAAGTCCCTTTGCACAGCAGCGTGCTGCAATTTTTTACCATTTAAACATAGTCCATTTTGCTGTTATTCCTACCAAAATGGATGACCTCACACTTATCAACATTGTACTCCATCTGCCAGACCTTTGCCCACTCACTTTGACTATCTGTATCTCTCTGCAGACTATGTGTCTTCTGCACACTTTGCTCTACCACTCATCTTAGTGTCATCTGCAAATTTTGACACACCACACTTAGTCCCCAACTCCAAATCATCTATGTAAGTTGTAAACAATCATGATCCCAACACTGATCCCTGAGGCACACCACTAGCCACTGACCGCCAACCAGGAAAACACCCATTTACCCCTACTCTTTGCTTTCTACTGGTCAACCAATCCTCTATCCATGCCAATACATTACCTGTAATACCGTGCAACTTTATCTTATGTAGCAGCCTTTGGTGTGGCACATTGTCAAATGCCTTCTGGAAATCCAGATACACCACATCCACAGGTTCCCCATTGTCCACCATGCAAGTAATGTCCTCAAAGAATTCCACCAAATTAGTTTAACATGACCTACCCTTCATGAACCCATGCTGGGTGTTCCTAATAGGACAGTTTATATCCAGATGTCTTGCTATTTCTTCCTTAATGATAGATTCAAGCATTTTCCCCACTACCGAAGTTAAGCTAACTGGCCTACAGTTTCCTGCTTTTTGTCTACTTCCTTTTTTAAACAGTGGCGTCACATTGGCTGTTTTCCAATCTGCAGGAACCACCCCAGAGTCCAGTGAAAATTTTGGTAAATAATTACTAGTGCATTTGCTATTTCCCCTATCACCTCTTTTAGTACTTTGGGATGCATTTCATCAGGGCCAGGAGACTTGTCTACCTTTAGCCGCATTAGCTTGCCCAGCATTGCCTCCTTAGTGATAAGGATAGTTTCTAGGTCCTCGCCTGCTATAACCTTCTTGCCATTGGTTTTCGGCACGTTATTTGTGTCTTCCACTATGAAGACCGACACAAAATAACTGTTTAATGCCTCGGCTATTTCCTCATTCCCAGTTATTAAATTGGCCTTCTCATCCTTTAAAGGACCAATGTTTACCTTCGCCACTCTTTTACGATTTACATATTTATAGAAACTTTTGCTGCCTGTTTTTATATTCTGAGCTAGTTTACTCTCATAATCTACCTTACTTTTCTTTATAACTTTTTTTTGTGGCTTTCTGTTGGCCTTTAAAGATTTCCCAGTCTACTAGTTTCCCACTACTCTCTGCTTTTTTGTATGTGTTTTTTTTCAATCTGATACTTTCCTTTATTTCCTTAGACATCCATGGCTGACAATCTCTTTTCCTACAGTTCTTCCTTATCACTGGAATATACTTCTGCTGAGCACTGTGAAAAATCGTTTTGAAAGTCCTCCACTGTTCCTCAATTGACCCACCATAAAGTGTTTGCTCCCATTCTACCTTAGCTAACTCCTCCCTCATCCCATCGTAGTCTCCTTTGTTTAAGCACGGACATTGGTAGTGGGTCTCACGCTCCATCTGTATTTTAAATTCGATCATACTGTGATCGCTCCTTCCGAGAGGATCCCTAACTGTGAGATCATTAATTATTCCTGTCTCATTACACAGGACTAGATCTAGCATAGCTTGCTCCCTCGTAGGTTTCATTACATATTGTTCAAGGAAGTTATCGCAGATGCATTCTATAACAACTCTGTGATTCCATGAAATTAAGCTGCTTTATTCCAAAGCACAGGGAAACATAAAGCTGGACACAGGAATTCATCGCTTCATTAGGAAACAGCAGTGCCTTAAACCATCAATCCTGTCCCAGGGTCATACAACATCTTTCATCTGCTGATTTGTATTGGAAAGTCTTGAAGTCACTGAAAGGAGTATTTGGTGTTGACAGGAGGGGATGGGATCAGAAACATCACTTGGTGGAGTATTCTGGTTTCTGAGATGCTAGCCAATGCAAATGTAACCATGCATCACAGCAACTGAATGTAAATCTTCCCACTTTCTTCAGTGGTGTTACACAGAAACCATAACACCCATACTGCTTGCAGCTGCACAAGTGGGAAAAAAAACGTTGGATTTCTGACAGTTTCTCAACAGGACATTTTTAAAATACTCACTTCATCCCGAAAAACAGCAGAGCCATGACTGCAAAGGGTTTCTTTCAAGGAATTGGCAGCTTGCGAGGACCAGAACTACATTAGCTTCACTATGCAAATGTTTTTGGTGCGCAGAATTGGAGGCAGGCACTCCCTGTGCTGTGAGGTGGGTTCTGCTTGTTGGATTCAGGGCAGGGTGTCCCCTCAAGAAAAAAGTGAATGGGGATTTTCAAAACAGTACTTTTGCCTGAGGTGCAAAAGAGATGAGGCTAGTTTTGGGAACTTGGCCAAATGTGACCAACCCCATACTGGGTGGATGCCAGGATTCAGAACCACAGAATAGAAGGTTAAGGTGATTCACTGCAGAGTGTGTGGGAATCGAAGGTGGGTGAAGAGTTATCCATGGTCCACCAGCAGTAGTGCGCATCACCCTCTATTAGAAAGGGACAGCTTATCCTGCTTGGGTGGCACCACTTTACATCAAGCGTGGGTCAAGGCAAGGAGAGCAGTGTCCATGAACTTTCATATTCAGTATCGGGATTGAACTCAGCCCATCAGTATCATTCTACATCACACTCAAGCTAAGTGAGCTAACAGAGCCCTCAGGCCACTGCAGGAGGGCCTTAATGGCACTTGAACCCAGGCAATGCAATGATCCCAGCAAATTCTTGCAGTAGAGGGTACCAGTAAGCATATCAATTCAATATAATATCATCCAGTTGTTTGTACATGTTCTTTTGATCCATCTTTTGAATGAACTCAACTCTGCAAACTTTCCTGGTTTGGATCAACCTTCCCAGTGTTGAAGTATAGACAGCCAATTACCTTTCTTTGGAGAAAATTTGGTTGACTTCTGAAAATTCTGATCTACGTTAAAGTGAAATGTTGGCGTTTCGTATGTCTTGCCATCGTCTTCAATCCCATCAACAATTCTGCAAAATAAAACGTGACAGACTAAATGTGAACAGTTTGCTCATGTGCTGACTATCAACCTCATGTTTCACACAGTGTGTCAGGAGCTGACGAGTGAATCTTACTGACTGACACCTCAACACACAGTAAGTAACAGGCTCACCTTAAGAGATCCATTTGATACTACAGCCCCTGCTAAGCTGTCACACACCCTGTCACTTCACAACCACAGGTCTGCAATGCTCTGCACTCAATTTCTCATAATTTCAAATACAAAAAGTAGACTGAAACACTTTTCCTAAAGTGTGTTGACTAGATGGAAAAATAATTTGTAATTTACATTGCCTTACACTGGTGGAAGGGTTGAGTACTAAAGGACATTGACTTAATGTGAAAGGCAAAAAAAATAATGACAGCATGAGGATTTCATTCTTGCACAGCGAGTGGGTAAGATTTTGCATTCACTGCTCGAGAGTGTGCTGGAAGCTGATTCAATCAAAGCTTTCAAAAGAGGATTGGCTATATATCTGAACTGAAAGCATTTGCAGGGCTACAGGCAAAAGATGCTGCAAGGTGGATCTCGGGTGAATTTCCCTTCAAGAACTGAGTGGCCTCCTGGACTGTAATCATTTTACGATTTCAGAACAGAATGTGAGGAAGAGAACAAGAGAAAGAAAATGAGGGGTATTTTTATAATGCTTTCCATGACGCCAGGATGCTCTAATGGCTATGCAGCCAACAAACATCTGTTAAAACATGACAAACGACAGCTAACTAGTGCACAGCAAGTTCCCTCAAACGCCATGAAACAAATAGTCATATTTTAGTCATGTTGGCAGATGGCTAAATTTGATCCCACTTCTGAAAGCTGGTGGGGCCTCTGTTTAACGTTTTATTTTAAAGACAGCACCTGCAACACTGCAGCACTAGCCTGTCTCACATGTTCAAGCCTCTTGACTTGGGCTTGAATGAAAACCATCCAACCCTAAAGAGAAGGTGCTGTCCTTTGAGCTAAGGATTACATTTAAGAAGCAGAGGAAATTATAAAACTGGAGTGACGGGATCATCATCAGCAGCAACAACAACAGGGAGGGAGGCAATGTCAGAACAGCACAAGGAGAACTTGAGAATCACTAAAGCTTTTGCAGTGAACCTGTCAGTAAATAATAAAGCTCTGAGATTTCAATAAAAATTGCTTTATTGCAAATGCTGATGTATTTCTCATAGTCCCAATTTTCTCTCATTGTCAATTCTGCAGAGGGAGAGAAACTCTGTAATGAGGATAAACTCAGTGATTGCACAATCATTGAGCACTGGATACCCTGAGTACACAACTCCTGTATGGACAGTAACTTGGAGCTGGCTATGCAGAAGCTGCACTCTGCAGTGGGAGTGGGAATGACACCCATATTCCTGCAGTGGCTCTGCCAGCTATATATGGCGACACCTGCATCTCAGCTCCTGACCTCTATTTTCACCAACATCTCTTTTCCTGAATCACTGCCACAGGCTCTCCATTGTTTCCATAACATCTTCCCCTCACCACGGAAGATTCAGCACGTATCCCTTTTCTCCTCTTTAGTGTTACCTGGTTTCCATGATCCACAGCATCTCAAAGAGCACGGAGATTTACCAGTCATCCAATGCTATCTATCCAGACCTGCTCTTTCCCTGTGCCCTTCTAAAATCTCTCAGTTGACAATGTTATTCACTAAATGATTTCAGTTGTAACTAATTTGTGAAGTTCAATGCCATCTTTTGTTGATGTTATTAAATTAGGTTTGTCCTGATCAGGATTTTGGTCCTGAACTAATTCAAGGAAAACAAACGTTACCATGTACACTAACACTGCGAGAAAATAAATCAGTGCTTTCTATAAATACGTGTATACAGATTCAGAAAAAATGTGTAAATGGTTTTCTATCATATTTAAGGCTAAAATAGATAGATCCTTGATCAATAGGGGAATCAAGGGTTATGGGGAAAGGGCAAGAAAGTGGACGTGAGGAATGTTGGATCAGCCCATGATCCTATTAAATGGTGACATAGGCTCAAAGGCCAAAAGGCCTACTCCCAATCCTATTTCTTATAGCCTTATGGTCTTATTCAGAAAGAGCTAATCTCCAGCATGGAGGCCAGCTTTTACTCTTATCTCTAACTAATGCTGCCCTTGACTGTAGTTTTGCTGCTGGGGAGTCTGGGCTCACTGAAATTATCTGGTTGTTCCATACACGGGATGTTATACTGCCCCCAAATGTAAATAAACCCTCTTGCAGCAACAAAGCTCATTTAGCGGAAGCTCAAATGAGATTAGTGTATTAAAAAGATTGAGTTTGGCTTCAGAGGTTGGTATCCAAGTGCCGTATAGCTCACATCTCTTGCAATGGTCCAGATGTAGAGGATATTGTTTTGCTAAGCCAAAAATATTTGAACTTGCATCTTTATTTCTTTATTTTCTACTTAAACCTAAGAAGGTCTGCAATGTGTAACCTTTAGCCTCATTTCGTATGCTTTACGCTATACTACAATTATTGCAATGTTTAACTTTTAACTTTGTTTTTTCTTTCCACCTTGTTCTTATGATTCTGTACCTAGGTACTTGTACCTAAGATGGTGCCTTGTGTTGGCGACATTATACACTTTTCACTGTATTCCTTTACTTTTGTCCTTGAGTACACATGATAATCAAATCAAATCAAATCATATCAAAATTCAAAAGGTGAACTGGGAAATCAATATTTCAGAAGGTGGACTGATTTAGCTTGACCCTGATATTATAGTTGTGTTCAATTTAAATAAAAGATTAATAACTAATTTAAAGGCTTTTTTAACATCCAAGTTCCAATTTTGTTTCAGTTTTGGGCACTATTAACTACCATTTATACTACTGTTCAGTGGTTCTCCCACTATAATGCATTCCTATTCTGTCCTCCTCTCTCCCATTTACATTCCAACCCCATGGAGACAGTAGGAATGCAGATGCCGGAAGCTAGAGTCAATAAATATGGATCTGGAAAAGCACAGCAGGTCAGACAGCATTCAAGGAAGTCCTGATGAAGGGTTTCAGCCTGAAACATTGACTTCCCTGCTCCTCGGATGCTGTCTGACCTGCTGTGCTTTTCTGGCTTCACATTTATTGACTCTGCACACCAAATCCACTCTTTTCTTAACCACACCTCCTTCCCTTCCTCAATTTATATGCACAGTTGCTTTAGCTCTTTTCCATTTCAACTTTCAATTGGCATTATTCTCTCTCAATTATACCATTCTCCATCAGCCACTGGGTAGAAACACATTCGCCCTGGCTGGGTGTGCACATCACTGGTTGTAAATGGCTAGCAGTTAAATCATTCCAAACTCTGACAATAGATTTTCACTCCACTTCATTTTACAGCCAGATCAAACCCTACTGTGTAGCATGAAGGCACTCAGAAGAGTTCTAGAAAGACAACGAAGCAAAAACACTCCTAAGTTCACACCTATACATCAGTAATTGCACTTTAGCATTCTTTTGTCTATAATGTCACCTAAGTTTTCCTTGCAACTTCAGCACCAGATAATTAAATATAATTAGCAGCTTGCTTATTTTAATTTTCCACCCTTCCTTGACAATGACTCATGCAGTTTTCTAACCCACATTCCATGCTATATTCAGGATTAGCAAAGAAAAATGTCAAAGGCCTTTATAATGTATCTCATCAAAGTCTCTTTCCATCCCATTCGTATTTACAAAAATTCTGTTGCACTTCAACTCTTTCTTCAGTATGAGGCGTTGCAAGTATATACAGTTCCTATGTTAGATAGTAGCTCAAAGTGCAAGTTCATGATTTGTTATTTTTAGACCTGACAGCATTGATATATGATCAGTTAAAGTGACACAGATCACAATACCAATTAAATAAAATCAAGCTGTGCTTATTTTTCAGTGGTGTGTCAAAATAGGTATATTAATGAGCAATTCCCCCTTTGGTTGAGCATCAGTTAGTGAAGTTTGTACAATCCCGAAAATGCTTTAGACGCACAGTCCTTGTTCATGCTACATTTTTCTTACCATACAGAAAATAACTCACAACAGTGAGGCATATCGAATGGAGAAATTGATAGAATAGTAAAACCATTGATCATTCTTCTCCAGGAAGGAAGGGTCACCGGACCCGAAATGTTAATTCTGATTTTTTCTTCACAGATGCTGCCAGACTTGCTGAGCTTTTCCAGAAACTTCTGTTTTTGTTTCTGATTTACAGCATCCACAGCTCTTTCTGGTTTTAACCTATTTTTCTTAACTGAGCAACAATTTTTCAATCTGGTAAAGAGCCACAGGATTCAAACTGCTTCTCTCTCCACAGGTGCTGCCAGACCTGCTGAGTTTCTCCAACATTTTGAGTCTCTCAGATCTCCAGCATCTGCAATTTAAAAAAAAAATTGTTCCAATTTTTAATGTTTGTTAACATTTATTTCAAAATACCTGTGGTACATAGGCAATTGGGCACAACTTGCCTCATGAAGAATGTATGTAGACAACACTCAGGTAGCAAAATTATCAACACGAATTCAGCTTTAAAAAGGTTGGTCAGGGTGTTCTGGCATGGTTGGTAGTGTCCTTAATCTCAGAGCCAGACGTTCTTGGTTCAACTCCCGTCCTTCCCAGATGTGTCATAACATATCTGAACAAGATTGATTAAAAAATGATTTAAAAAGCTTGGTCAGTCTGAAGTGGTATCAAAATAGTGCAGGAGTAAAGTCTCTTAGAATCCCTGCCTTGCTTTTACAGTAAAATGTCAACCAAGAACGTAGACAATCCCTCCTCTATTTCTGAAGGCATGATTCAGAGGCATGGGAGTTTCAGTCTGAGGGAGCAGTGAGATAGCATCCTTCCTCTACCCCCAAATCAGTTATGATTTTCCTTTTACTGAAGTGTCCAATAACATTACTGTTCTGAGCTGTGGAATCCTGCCATGCAGGTCCACATGCCCCATGCTTCACCCCACAGCAAATTCCCTGGGGCCAGGAGTGTTTCTGGTTCCCAAACCTGCCTGCAGGGAAATACAGGTATTTCTGCTATAATGCGTGTTTTGTTAACGCGAATTGGCTGTGACATGATTGATGAAAGTGGACGCTGTTTGCACAAACTTTCTACTGTACAGGTATAGTGATTTTCTAAAGCAATTTCCCTATAATGCGATTTTCTAAAGCGCAAGGTCACACGAGAACGCAACCATCATGTTATAGGAGAAATACCTGTACTCATCTGGGACCTTGGATTTGGATTGGGACTCTCTCTCAATTAGGACGGTGATTAGTTCCCTCTCCAATGAATGTGGCGGGTGAGCTCGCAAAGCTGGATGGCCAATCAAAAGCTTTCCAGCTTCAGGCGAGCACTTGAATGCACCTCAAGGTAGATCATTGGGAAATGACTTCAACATGAAAGTGCCCTCACAGCTACATGCTAAAACTAATTTCAAGAACAGGTAAGATGGTGGTGTCATGGTAATGTCACTGGACAAGTATTCCAGAACGCCAGGCTAACTTTCTGAGCACATGGGTTCAAACTTCAACAAGGCAGATAACAAACTAGATAAAAAAATCTAGAATAAAAAGCTGGCCTAATGGTGAGTTACATTACAATGAACCACTGTTGATTGTCATAATCAAAATCAAATTTGGCTCACTAATGTTCTTCAGGGAAGGATATCTGCCATTCTTACCTGGTCTGGCCTATTTGTGACTCCAGACCCACAGTGATGTGGTTGACTCTTAACTGCCCTCCAGATAATTCACCACTGGCAATAAATGCTGACCTAGCAAGTGACATCCACATTCCATGAATGAATTTTATTTGAAAAAAGCAGCCGCGTCACCTTTTGGGGAGAGGTGGAAGCCTCTGTACAAGGCAGCTTTTTACTGCATTACCAACCAGGGAGGAAGAGAGAGCCTGCAGTCCTGCCTGCAACCTGGCACCCTCACCTGCGATGGGTACCTGCCTCCAAGCAGTTGAGCTGCCCGGTGCTGAAACAGGCGGCTGAGAATCTGTTCACCCTCTCAGTCAGTCCTTGAGTTATCCTTAAATACAACAGTGTGCAAGTCAGCACAGTCCACACCTTCAGTAGGAATGGGTGAGTGAAACCTACATAAAGTTAGGCCCTGTATCTTGGTATTTGTGTTACTGATGTGATAGTGTAAACTTCAGAACTTTAATAACTGTTCACAGATTGAAAGAAGCAGCAATAACTCTGTCTGGAATAAACTATTAACGGACAAGGACACATTTATACAGCAATTGAAAGCAAAGAGCCAAGTCTGGGAAAAGAAGGCACCAAAGCTACATAAACAAAACTTGTTTGACATCTGCTTGATAACTGGCTGCTTTCTGCTGCAGGAATAAATGATTGCCCTGCAGAAGAATTTAAAGAGTTAATCACAGGAAAACTGTCTCTTTGAAAAGACAATTAATGCCAAATGTAACAAGGAACAAGGAAGCTACTTCTGATAAGAAGGCAAGTTGCAGACTTGATGGTTTCAATGAGTAGTCAATATTTTACATAGAACATAGAACAGTACAGCACAGTACAGGCCCTTCGGCCCACGATGTTGTGCCAACCTATTATCCTACTCTAAGATCAACTAACCTGCATACCCTTCATTCTACTTCATTTACCCTTCATTTTGAACGAAAGAATCTAAAGATTCATCAATAATGTCACACCATAGACCTGAAGGATGAGAAACTGTATAAGAATCCAACACCAGAAATCTTCTTCAGCAGAATTTCAAAGAACAACACTGCACAAGGATCAAACCCGGGAAATCAGAGACAGACACTATTAGTTACAATAGCAACTAAATGCCACCATTAATAAGGTAATAGCCAAGTTGAGCTGCTTTCTTTGGGGATCTTATTTTGGTTGCTACATGCAATAAAGTTGAAATCATTGTTTCAGTATTTGATTGTCTGTGAGATTTCTTAATGAGTGCCCAAATTAAAGGTTGCTTGTAGTGATTTACTGACAACACTGGACTAGTAAAATGAAGACCTGGATTAATGATCTACAGATGAGAATAGCCGAGGAAGTTACTCAGTTGTATTTAAGAAGGCAACTTGTTGCAATTAGAGACAAGCAATAAATGTTGGCTTAGCCAGCAATACCCATATCCTGTGGATGAATATGAAAAAGATCCTCTGAAAATCATGCCCATTTGGACTGAGTAAATAGGGAAAAATGCTCACACTTGTGAAAGCATTGCAAAAGGGAGGGCACACATTTAACTTAGCAAAAGAAGCAAAAGTGATATGAGGAAATACGTTTCCAACCAATGAGTGGATAGGGTCTGAAATGCACTCCTTGACAGTATGATGCAGGCAGGTACATTCAATGCTTTCAGTAGAGAATTAGACAGCTATTTGAAAAGGAATAATGTGCATCATTGTATGAAGACAGGGGAATGGTGTTGAGTGAGTTGTTAATTTGGAGAGTTAGTGCAGATAGGGTTAGGATCATAATATCATAGAATCCCTACAGTGTGGAAACAGGCCATTCAGCCCATCAGGTCCATGCATACCCTCCAACGAGCATCCCACCTCGCTATCCTAGCCCTGTAACCCTGAATTTCCTAATGTGCATATCCCTGGACACTGTGGGTAATTTAACATGGTCAATCCGCTAACCTGCACATCTTTGGAAACTGGAGCATCCAGAGGAAACCCAGGCAGGCACGGGGAGAATGTGCAAACTCCACACAGATAGTCACCCAAGGGTAGAAACGAACCTGTGTCCCTGGTGCTATGATTGGCCAAGTTGCCTCATTTTGCATTGTATAACTTCTGAGTGCTTTACCAAAACTGCACCCAGTCAGGTAACTGTTTCATCACCTTCAAGCAAGTTGAACTGATAATAACCAGCTGTTAAGACCAAACTTATGTGCTGAATCCAAATATTCAAACAGATGAATCTTATTAGCACAGTACCCATTCAACACCAGTTTCTATTCTCTCATCAAAATGAATTGCTGACGCAGAGCCTTTTTCATTTTTATGGAACAGCGTGAATCTCAAGGCAGTACCACTGAGCCATTGTCAATACTAAAGGCAATTAAAGTCCATTTTCTAGCAAGAAGGTAGAATGCAGACAAGGACAGTGTGATGACTTGTGAATTTCAGATTGTTTTGTTAGCGTAGTCAATACTCAAAATATCAGTGTAGAAAATGAAACAAAAACAGAAGCTGCTGGAAAAACTGAGCAAGTCTGGCAGCACCTGTGAAGAAAAATCAGAGTTAATGCTTCAACTCCGGTAACCTTTCCTGCATTTACATTTTTACTTGGACAAGATACTTATAAATGACACTGGTCACTGCCTTACAACTGAAGGACACAATAATCAACAAACCGAATCCACTGTGAAATTCCTCCTGTGAAGAGAAAGGATTTTGAAGGGTTTTCTTTTCATAGAATCCCAACAGCGTGGAAACAGGCCCAACATGTCCACACCACCCCTCAGAGCATCCCACCCAGACTCATCCCACATAATCCACCTAATCTACACATCCCTGAACACTATCGGCAATTTTAACATGGCCAATCCACCTAGCCTGCACATGTTTGGACTGTGGGAGGAAACCGGAGCACCTGGAGGAAACCCACATGGACACAGGGAGAATGTGCAAACTCCACACAGACAGTCACCCGAGGGTGTATTTATTTTTTCTTTTGATTAGTGACTCATAAATGAAATTTTGTCAAAACTGTACATTTTGAAACTGGGTTTTGTCACAATGCTGTTTGTGGTTCTGAATTATAGAGATCATTGTCTTTTTTCTTAAAACAACAAATGTCACCCCCAAATGTCTACATTTATTCTTAAACTTCCCTGACTTCCTTAGTATGTGGAAAACGCATCCACACAAGACAGCCAGGAACAGAACTGACCAATTAGTTTTAGGATTTGTTTCCATTATTCAACAATGTTGTAAATCCTAGGAAATCATTTTAGACTCATTCTGGCATTTAGTCTATAAATTTATCCGCAGAATTTTCTATAAGTGCAGAAATAAAACAACCATAATGTTCATATTATTATTCAGCTGATTAACTCCCAAATTTACTATTAAACATATGATGCTGTGTTATGACTGATTGAAGTACAGTGATGTAGTAAGTTCTCAACCTGTATAACATATATTGAGTAATCACATTATCATCATATTTGGTTTGAAACATACCTAGGGCTTAAGTCAGGAGGTCCACAGCAGTTTAGAGATGGTAGAAGTAGTTTTGCTGGTTTTCGTGCATTACCATTTCCACTATTAGATGTGACGTCTTCCTTCTTATACTGGGGGCTTCCACCCCTCCTGCACTTGGCCGGTGAACGACTGCCAAGTCTTATCGTTGAGTAATGCTTAAGGTCATCTCCGAGCAAGCTCCCGAGCGACCCTCGCCGGATTGGGCTGTTCAAACCCGGCAAGGTGAGTTTCCTTCTGGTCCTAGTTGCTGGTGAGAGGTGAGAATATTCACTTGGTTCATCCTCAGTTTCCAAAATGGAGGGAAGCTTCTTATTAGAATTGTCACTATTCTCTAAACGGTTCTAAAACAAAAAAAATACAATGGTTTCATCAGACTATGCATTTCTTTCCAAGTGAAGGCTACAGAGACTCATCTTTTCATTTTTAAAGAAATTGGCCAATCAATTCTCCTACTATTGGAGATTTGTACGTTATCTAATTTTCTGCAAAGCTGAGTTTCACATTGAGCTGAACTGGAATCCACCCATCCCAGTGTGACATTCTAGTCAATATATTTTTTTCCCTTATTTCAAGTTAAGAAACACAACCACATTTCTGGCATTTGGTTTGAGCGGTCCTGTAGAGGAGGAAAGATTATTTGTTAAAGATTTTGCAGTAAGTTATTATTGCCTACTTGCCTACTTTGCTTTAGAGTTTCTAATTGATGCTGAGGATATAGTTCTTCAAATGGTGGTTACCCTCTCGTATCTCATTAGGGAACCGGAGCTGGAGCTGGATGAACTCCAGATCATTCGGGAGGCTGAGGGGGTGATAGAGAGGAGTTATAAGGAGGTGGTCACACCCAAGGTACAGGAAAAAGGTAGCTGGGTGACTGTCAGGAGGGGGAAAGGGAATGGGCAGACAGTGCAGGGATCCCCTGTGGCCATTCCCCTCAATAATAAATATACCATTTTGGATACTGTTGGGGAGGGGGCGAACATACCAGGGAAAGGCCACAGAAGACAGGTCTCTGGCACTGAGCCTGGCCCTGTGGCACAGAAGGGAAGGGGCGAGAATAGGAGAGAAATTGTAGTGGGGGATTCAATAGTAAGAGGCGGGTCTGTGGACACGAACGAGACGAATGGATAGTATGTTGCCTCTCGAGTGCCAGGTCTGTGACATCTTGGATTGTGTCTTCAAGATCCTTAAGGGGGAGGGTGAGCAACCAGCAGTCATGGTACACATCAGTACCAATGACACAGGTAGAAAAAGGACTGAGAATGTGAAAAACGAATACAGGGAGTTAGGTTGGAAGCTGAAGTCCAGGACAAACAGAGTAGTTATCTCTGGATTACTACCAGTGCCACGTGATAACAAGGTAAGAAATAGGGACAGAGTGCAGCTAAACACGTGGCTACAGGGCTGGTGTAGGAGGGAGGGCTTCCATTGTGTGGATAATTGGAACACATTCTGGGGAAGGTGGGACCTATACAGTAAGGGCGGGTTGCACCTGAACCGGAAGGGCACAAATATCCTGGGAGGGAGATTTGCTCAAGCTATACGGGATGGTTTAAACTAGATTGGCAGGGGGTGGGGAACCGGATTTGTAATTCAGAGGATGAGATATTCAGACTTTCAACAGACACAACAGGGAGTGAGGTTGTTTATAAAGAAATGCGGTTGATGGAGCATAATTGTGGACACAGGGATGGTTTGAAGTGTGTGTACTTCAATGCTAGAAGTATCAGAAATAAGGCAGATGAACTTAGAGCATGGGTCAGTACTTGGAACTACGATGTGGCCATTACAGAAACTTGGGTAACTCAGGGACAGGAATGGTTGTTGGAAGTTCCGGGATTTAGATGCTTTAAAAGAAATAGGGAGGATGGTAAAAGAGGCGGGGGAGTGGCATTGCTATTCAGGGCTAGCATAGCAGCTACTGAAAGGCAGTTCGAGAATGATACGTCTACAGAGTCAGTTTGGGTTGAGGTCAGGAACAAGGAAGGAGCAGTCACTTTGTTGGGGTATTTTTTACAGACCCCCTAATAGTTGCAGAGAAGTGGTGGAGCGGATTGGGAGGCAGGTACTAGAAAGGTGCAGAAGTCACAGGGTTGTAGTCATGCGTGACTTCAACTTTCCAAATATTGATTAGAAACTTTTCAGTTGTAATAGTTTAGATAGAGTGGATTTTATCCAGTGCGTTCAGGAAGGATTCCTGACACAGTATGTAGGTAGACCAACACGAGGAGAGGCCACTTTGGATTTAGTGCTTGGCAATGAATTGGGCCAAGTGTTAGACCTGTTGGTAGGAGAGCATTTTGGCGGTAGCGATCATAACTCTGCTACTTTTACAATAGTCATGGAAAAGGATAGGTACATACAGCAGGGTAAGGTTTATAATTGGGGGAAGGGTAATTATAATTCTGTTAGGCAAGAACTGTGTAACATAAAATGGGAACTGATGCTGTCAGGGAAGAGCACTATTGAAATGTGGAGATTTTTTGAGGAATGCATACTGCGTGTGATCAATATGTTTGTCCCTAGCAGGCAGGGAAGATGTGGTTGAGTGAGGGAGCCTTGGTTCTCGAGAGAGGTCGAACGACTAGTTAAGAGGAAGGAGGATGCCTTTATAAGGTTTAGGAAACAAGGATCGGAAAAGGCTCTAGACGGATACAAGTTAGCCAGGAAGGAGCTGAAGAAAGGGCTTAGGAGAGCTATTAGGGGGCATGAGAAAACCTTGGCAGATAGGATCAAGGAAAACTCCAAGGCTTTTTACATGTACGTGAGAAATAAGAGAATGACCAGAGAAAGGGTAGGGCCAATCAAGGATTTTAAAGGGAATTTGTGCACGGAGCCTAAAGAGATAGGAGCGGTCCTTAATGAATACCTTTCTTCGGTATTCACAACTGAGAGGGACCTAATTGTAGAGGCGGACAGTGTGAAACAAGCTGGTAGGCTAGAGGAGGTCGATGTTAGTAAGGAAGATGTACTCGGAATTTTGAGGAACTTGAAGATAGATAAGTCCCCCGGGCCTCATGGGATTTATCCAAGGATTTTATGGGAAGTGAGGGAAGAGATCGCAGGGCCTTTGGCGATGATCTTTTCGTCCTCACTGTCCACGGGTATAGTGCCGGAAGACTGGAGAGTGGCAAACGTCATTCCCTTGTTCAAAAAAGGGAATAGGGATAACCACGGAAATTACAGGCCAGTTAGTCCTACTTCAGTGGTGGGCAAATTATTGGAAAGGGCTCTGAGAGATAGGATTTATGATCACTTGGATAGGCACAGTTTGATTTGTAATAGTCAGCATGGATTTGTGAGGGGTAGAATATGCCTCACAAACCTTATTGAATTCTTTGTTTGGTCACGTGGATGAAGGTAGAGCAATGGATGTGGTATACATGGATTTAAGTAAGGCGTTTGATAAGGTTCCCCATGGTAGGCTCATGCAGAAAGTAAGGAGGCATGGGATAGGGGGAAATGTGGCAGATTGGATTCAGAATTGGCTGACCTTAAGAAGACAAAGGGTGGTAGTTGACAGAAAATATTCCAAATGGTGCTCAGTTACGAGTGGTGTACTACAAGGATCTGTTCTGGGTCCTCTTCTATTTGTGATTTTTGTAAATGATTTGGATGTAAGAGTGGAAGGGTGGATTAATAAGTTCATGGATGATACGAAGATGGGTCGAGTTGTGGGTAGTGCGGAGGGTTGTTCTAGGTTACAAAAGGACATTGATAGGATGCAGAACTGGGGTGAGAAGTGGCGGATGGAGTTTAACCCTGAAAAGTGTGATGTGATTCATTTTGGAAGGACAAACTTGAAAGCAGAATACAGGGTTAGCGGAAAGATTCTTGGCAATATGGAGGAGCAGAGGGATCTCGGGGTTCATGTCCACAGTTCCCTGAAAGCTGCCACCCAGGTGGATAGAGTTGTTAAGAAGGCGTATGGTGTGTTAGCTTTCATTAATAGAGGAATTGCGTTCAAGAGCCGTGAAGTTATGCTCCAGCTATAAAAAACCTAGGTTCAGCCACATCTGGAGTATTGCGTCCAGTTCTGTTCGCCTCATTACAGGAAAGATGTGGAAGTGTTGGAAAAGGTGCAGAGGAGATTTACCAGGATGTTGCCTGGAATGGAGGGAAGGCCTTACGAGGAAAGGTTGAGAGAGCTATAGCTTTTCTCTTTAGAACGACGAAGGATAAGAGGTGACTTGATAGAGGTGTACAAAATGATCAGAGGTATAGATAGAGTGCACAGCCAGAGATTTTTTCCTAGGGTGGAGGTAGCTATTACGAGGGGGCATAGTTTTAAAGTGAGTGGAGGTAGATATAGGGGAGATGTCAGAGGTAGGTTCTTTACTCAGAGAGTGGTAGGGGTGTGGAATGCATTGCCGGAGCGGGTAGTGGAGTCGGCCTCATTAGGGGCATTTAAGCGGCTATTAGATAGGCATATGGATGATAGTATAAGGTAGGGGTGGAGGTTAGGTAGACATTAGGTTTAGGGTAAAAGTTCGGCACAACATCGTGGGCCGAAGGGCCTGTACTGTGCTGTACTGTTCTATGTTCTATGTTCTATCTTCATGTGGGCCTCTGGATAGAATATGGAAGGAGTGTGACCTCTACTCTTTCGTGACCCAGCCTCCATCAGTATCTATTCTTCAGCTGATTTCCACCCTCCCTGTTTCAGACATCGAACCCAGTTGTACCATCTCTACAGCATTCTCAGATGAGATGGGTTACTCCGTGGAGAAGAAGAATGGAATTTAGGGTTTTCCTGGCCTTTCAAAACTGTTGCAGATCTGGATATTTAGCAGTCGGAGTAAAAATGAGATTGAGTTAACTGAGCCAATTATTGGGAATCTTCAGCCATTGTACACACAAATAAACCTCACTTATTCTATATGAGAAACATGTAGATTAAGAGCAAAAGAGCAAATCGGGATAAGTCGGGCCCCTTAAAGATAATGAGGTCACCTACGTGTTGACCACAGGAGATAGGACAGGTATTAATATTTCGTATCAGTATTTACTGTGGAGAAATATATGGCTGCTAGGGAACTCAGGGAAGTAAATATTGATGTCTTGAAAACAGTCCATATTACAGAGGAGATGCTGGAGGTCATAAAACAAACAAAGGTCGATAAATCTCTGGGACATTGTGGGAAGCTGGAGAAGAAATAGCGGGGCCCCTAGCAGAGATATTTGTATCATCAACAGCCATGGGTGAGATGCCAGAGGACCGAATGGCGGCTAATGTTGTGCCTTTATTTATGAAAGACTGTAAGGAGAAAACAGGGAACTACGGTGAGTCAGTGGTGGGTGTATTGTTGGAGGTGATTCTGAAAGAAAGGATTTACATGCATATGGAGAGGCAAGGACTGATTACAGATAGTCAGCAGGGCTTTGTGCATGGGAAATTGTGTCTCACAAACTTGATTGAGTTTTTCAGGACACAATCAAGATAGATAGATGAGAAGATAGAATATAATAAAGGCTTTGACAAGGTTCCGCATGGTAGACTAATAAGTAAAGTCAAATCACATGGGATTCAGGGAGAGCTTGCCAACTGGATTCAAAATTGGCTTGATGGTAGGTGACAAAGGGTGGTGGTAGAGGGCTGGCTTTTAGACTGGAGGCCTGTGACCGGCTGTATTCTACAGGGATCAGTACTGGGTCCACTGTTGTTTTGTCATTTATATAGATGACTTAGATGAGGATTTAGGACGCATGGTCGGTAAGTTTGTGGATGAAACCAAAATTGGTGATATAGTCAATGGTGAAGAAGGTTATCTAAGATTACAAAATGACCTTGATCAATAGGGCCAAGGAGCTGAGGAATGATAGAGTTTAATTTGGATAAATGTGAGGTATTGCATTTTGCTAAAACAAACAAGGGCAGGCCTTACACAGTTAATGGTAGGACCCTGGATACTGTTGTCAAACAGAAAGACCTAGGTTCAGATACATAGTTCTTTGAAAGTTGCGTCACGGGTAGACAGGGTGATTAAGAAGGCATTTAGCATGCTTGCCTTCATTGCTCAGACCATTGAGTATTGGAGTTGTGATGTCTAATTGAGGTTGTCCAGGACATTAGTGAGGCAACTTTTGAAGTACTGTGTACAGTTCTTGTTGTCCTGCTTCGGAGAGGGTTCAGGAAAAATTTACGAGGATGTTGAAGGGACCGGAGGGTTTGAGGTATAAGGAGAGGCTGGATAGGATGGGACTTTTTTCACTGGAACGTATGAGGTTGAGGGGTGACCTTATAGAGGTTTATAAAATCATAAGGGGTATAGATAAGGTGAATAGCAAAGGTCTTTTCTCTAGGGTGGTGGAGTTCAAAACTAAGGGGCATATTTTTAATGTGAGAGGAGGAAGATTTAAAAAGGGCCGAAAGGGCAACTTTTTCACACAGAAGTTGGTTCATATATGGAATGAATTGGCAGACGAAGTGGTAGATGCAGGTACAATTACAACATTTAAAAGACATTTGGACAGGTACATGAATAGGAAAAGGTTTGGAGGTATATGGGCCAAACGCAGGCAATTGGGACTAGTTTAGCTTAGGAAACTTGGTTGGCATGGATGAATTGGATCGAAGAGTCTGCTTCTGCGCTGTGTGACTCTATGACCCTATGAGAAGGTAACAGAGGAATGCAACCATGATAGAATACAAAGGGTCAAATTGTTAATTTGTTTTTCCTTTTGCACATAGAATAATGTTCCTTTTCAAGTGCAGCGGTTTCATAAAAAAATGAAACATTTATGAATTTCCAGACAGAAGGTGAAGTTGAGATGTTACAAACCCACTCAAGAAACGTGTTCATTCTTCTGAGGTCTGAGATCCCAGACTATCCACCATAATCAATGGTATTTCAGTGTCATGATTCCCATTGGGGAACCATAAATCAAAGGAACCCAGATTTGTCCATTAATCCCCAAGAGAAGAAATTACTAACTAATTACTAATTACATTTCACTTTTAAAAGTTGACACAACAAAGATCCATCTAACATGACTGTAAGTATTTTATAATTCTGCAAAGACAATCCAACAATATACTGTTCTTTATTCATGTAAGCTAGGTCAGGATTCTGAAAATAGCTTTCATCTTTTGAGTTTCATGGGTATGATTAGAATCCACAAGGCACATTTCCATGAAGCACCCGTTCCCTCCATTCATGGTAGCCCTGACGGTGTAGCTTTCTGGAGTTCCTTCTCAAACAACCAACCAATAACATCCTAGTTCACGGTTTGGCCACTTTTGGTAAAAATCCCAGTCTTTAGCATCTCAGAAATGAGTGAACATGATCTTAAACCAATATATGGTTTATCGCTTTATGGTGTATAATTCCAGTGACCTGTCAAAATTGAACTATAAAGAGTTGCGGGAACGGTCTAATGCTTTTGAGAGCTGACGAGGATTTTTTTTCATACTAATTGAGTGAATTAATACTAATTTGTGAATTCTGGAGAGCTCTGTGCACATATGAAGCCACAAATGTTAAGAACAGGCTCCAAGGTAGAATTACAATTGCAGCCAAACAGTACTGATGAGCTGGAGACAACAAGGTGCAGGACTAATGAGCTAATTTGAGAACTGCCAATTTAGATCAATAGCTCCAATACAAATACAGAATAAGATTATACAGAAGTTCCTCAGAATTGTTAACCAATTCCAGTTGTTTCCCAGTTGGTTTATTGCTCATCATCACCCTAGGTTTACACGACATGGTACACACCAGAATAAAACTGCAACATACCTGGGATAGTCTGGGGGATTTGGTGAACTTTGAGAATCCCTGTGAAAACAATAGATGCAATTAACATTAAGCAGCCAACTAGACAGTCTTGAGCGTGAGTTATATCTGAATTTATATTTAAATAATCCAGTAATGATTATCAAACCCAGGTAACAACCATAATATCTGAAGTAAATGGAACAGAGAATGTACTTAAAGCTGATTGTGGCAGACAGAAATAGGTTTATTAGGATAGCCCTTGACTTTAAGTTGTTAAAAACTGAATGACAATATCTACCTTAACAAACAAGATGTCCCCCTTTAATTTTCCAAGTTCCACCCAAAATGATGGAAAGGAGGCATTCTTTTGATGCCAGATGTTAATTAACATCAATTTGAGCAGACTCAAGCTACATTCGGAGAGGGTGTGCTCCCAGGACAAATGCGCACAGGTATCAGCCGAAACAGGAGTGACTCCAGTACACAGTAAGCATGGCTACTGTGAGAAATGGGAATGCCACAGTAAGCAACACAATTCACCATGACAACATTATTTTATGAGGAGAAGCACTAAAACCAAGGTACTTATGATCTGTCTATTAAAATAAAATAATATCCCAATTATATTGTATGCCACAATCTTGTTTGATTTGATTTATTGTTGCAGTCACACGTACCTAAGTACAGTGAAAAGTTTTGTTTTCCGAGCAGTACAAGCAGATCATAGCAAAAAACGACACACAGATTAAGGGGTGCTTAGACAGAGCGAGGCATACAAAGTTACGGCTGCTCAGGAGGTGCACAAAGCAAGATCAACAGCAGCAAGATCAACATTATTTGAAGTTAGAGAGTTCCACTCAGCAGTGTAATCACGGCAGGGAAGAAGTTGTTCCTGAACCTGTTGGTGCCCGTATTCAAATTTCTGTACGGTCATGACTGTCCTGTATAGTGCAGCATCCTACTGAGAAAAATCATCTCTCAGCATGTCTGTCGACTTTCGTTGGAATCTGGGAGGATATTGCGCTATGGGTAGAGTTCAACGTTTGCAGAGACATCTTGATGGATGGTATCAGAATTGTTTCCTGACAATAGTTAAATATTCTATTTACATATTAATATTAATCACTTTGAATATTTGGGCATCTTATAGATTCATTATTGTAGGAGTTATCATTCTTGGAAAACATATCTGGGGTTCCATTTTGATCAACAATTATCTCAAGTTAGGACAGATTAATTAATCCCAAAGAATTACAGCCATAGCACAGAGAGAAAATTAAACTACTCAATTCCTTCTCCTTATTAGCTGCTCCAACCGAATTTACAAATGTTTATACGGCATTGATTTCACAGTGCTATGTAAGAACAGCTGCTTTTTAAGCACCAGATTTTATAGCTTGAAAAGTCATGACCAGAGGCAATGTTTCCCATCCTGTGTCTGATTAACATAATCTTCCCAGGAGCAATAGGCTGCCAGCTCTTCCTTGTTGGCATAGAGGAATTCTGACACTAGGTAATCCCACCAAAACAAAAATGTGCTGTTGATACTGAATGTACAACAATTTTTTTCATTGAATCCTCCAATCTATCAACCACCTTTACTGCATCAAACCAATGAACATTCTGAATTCTTGAGAGTAACACATCTGTGGAGTCCAATTTATTATTTGGAATTAGTAAACAGCAGGCTGCGTTAATCTCCTGCTGGAAGGCAATTATAAATTTGTACAAAATTGCAACATTTGACATGTAACATTGCTGCTACTGTTTGTAGGAGTATGCAGCAAATGCACACTTGCATTTGGTGCATGTGGCAGGATTCCAGTTTAAAAGTACTTTTAACATTATTTCCAAGGAACTAGAGACAAAATCCTGTGTAGAGATGGCAGTTTGAGTCTGCCCCATGCGACAGTATTGCCAACTCAGACCACTGTGAAAACAACTCTCTGCTGCTCACATCAGCCATGGTTTGTTTAATATTGGAATGTAAGATACCACATAAGGCAGGGTGGTCCTTTCTGTAGAAAACCTACTATTTGCATTTTGTTATTGTTATTATTGCCACACTCTAACTGGAATAAAAACTGCAATGATTCAAGAAAGGTCAGGTAAGTTCTCAGATGTGTTGAACATCATGTCTGTAGTAGACATTTCCCAGAATTTTGCTCATACCTGAGAAAATAGCCCAATTATTAAAATTTTGTTTCTTACAACAGAACAAAAAAGTGAAATGACCTGTAGGGATTATACCTGCAATAGTGTCATCCTAGGTGCGAGTTCTGAATGACTGGCACTACATATTGACAATTAACAATATGGTAAGTAATAAGAAGGTAATATATAAAAATCTTTTGGCACAGTGGTGCAGTGGTTATGTTCTCAGGCAAGTCCTTCAGAGTTCTGAACTAATAATTGAAAACTGCTTTGATGGCTTTAAAGCCTTTTTAGATGCAGTAATATTAATTACGTAAAGAAGTACACACACACTCTAACTGTCAAATATACACACGTTTGCACACACACACTGATTCCTGCGTGCACGCACACTTACTCCCACACGCACCCATACGCTCAGTCCCACACACATGCTTCCTCTGGCTGACAAACTGATTTCAGTTTTTTTGATAATCAAGCCAAACCTTCAAACAATAAAATGATGAATTTTAAGCTATCATAGCAACTAGAATAAAATCTTGTGAATTAAGCTCAGCAATTACATCTACATTCAAGAAAGCTCAACTGGATTAGATATTGAGAGCTATTTTTACAAGCAGGAGAACCATTGTGATGAAAACATTGGCCCAACCTTCTACCCTGCACGCACTCTCAGCGCCTGTCATCATAACAAATGTTAAAGCACAGATTTCTGGATTGTATTCCAGATTAGGATGCCCATGAGATGACTCCTACATAAAAATAGTGTCCCATGTGATATGTTCTGAATCTGATTTCTGCTGTTGATTAAGTAGGCCACAATGTGATTTATTAATAAACAGTTGGCTCTCAAAAGAAGTCCACAAAATCACGTGTCCTAAAAGGGAATTTTACAAGCATCTGGATGGGATAAATTTTTGAGTCATGACTTTTTCTGCTGGTGGGCAAAATGGGTTTATTGCTGTGAAAGACAGCAAATGTCAATATTGTCACTGCATCCAGTCAAATTTCCTGCTAAAAGAATAAGTTTCCCATCCAGTGACAGATAACACTTCTGTTCCACATAGATAAATGTTTGTACATCCTGCACCAAACATTTTGTTTTCTGTAAACCGTGTTTTAATATAGACCAGTTGATATTACTATGTCCAATAGCTATTGAGAAACTGAAATAACTGCCTGGAGGCCAGTATCCCATCACCAAGTCGTACCCTTTATTTATTTGTGCACAGTGGACTGGAGCCAGTCAGCTCAGAGTCAGTCCCCTGAACTGAGGATAATCTAATCTCCTGGTTATATTGGTCAGCCAGTGTTTTCCTAATTGGCCCAGATTAACAACCCCAATCAAGGATCCATAGTCAACAAGGCCCACCTGGTTCCAATCACTGCATCCCTGCGCCCCCCCCCCCCCCCCCCCAAAACTCAGGGGATGTAGGCCTGGTCTTTCGCTTGTAGCCTTTCCTGTGACATTTTCACCCCAAGTCCAGATCCTCTGATCCAGACTCTGACACAGGCAGGACTGTAACCTGCCTCTTGTGCCTGGAGCGTGTCAGCAGAGTTTCCTCCTTCCAATGGTGACAGCATTGAGGCTGCATCCATCTCGGACTCTGAGCTTTCCTCGACACTAGACAGAGGAGGAAGAACCTATGGTTTCTGACAGGCCTTCTGGCTGTTCTGAGGGCCAGGTGTGTTCTGCTCCCGACCCGTTTGCGAGGGAACAGATTTCAGGTGTTCCGCATGTTTGGTCAGGACTGTATCACCTACCAAAACTTTGTACGTCACGGGACCTGACCTCGCGTCAACCTCGCCTCATACCATAGGGGGCCATTCCCATGGTTCCGGCACCAAACTTTGTCCCCTGAATTAAATGGTCTTTCTCGCTTAGAGGAGGCATATGGCTGGCATTGGCGTTCCTGCTTCCCTTTCACCCTCCGCCGACAGATCTGGGAACATCAGGTTCAGCCAGGCGTGGAGTCTTCTCCCCATCAGCAACTCTGCTGGGGCTATCCCTGTTGTTGCGTGTAGGGTGGTCCTATAATTGAACAGGAACCGGGACAGTTTGGTATCAATTGATGCTGTAGGCTGCTTCCTTAAGCCTGCCTTCAACATTTGGGCTGTCCTTCCTGCTAGACCATTGGACGATGGAAGGTATGGAGCTGCCCTTATATACCGAATGCCACTTGACTTTAGGAAATATTTGAATTCCCTGCTGGTAAATGATGTCCCATTGTCTGTGACCAATACTTCCAGGAGTTCGTGTATAGTGAACGATGCTCGCAGCTTCTCAATCACCATCGCTGAGTTTGCCAAACGAACTTAACACACATCCAACCACATTGAATGGGCGTCCACAATGACAAGGAACATTGAACCCATAAAATGACTGGCATAGTCGACATGCAACCAAGCCCAGGGTTTACCGGCCAATCCCATGAAGGAGGGGCACTACTGTTGGCAATTTTTGTCCTTGTTGGTTCTCTGGGCACTGCCCCACCAAGGCAGCTTTGTCAAGATCCAGCCCTGGCCACCAGACATAGTTTCTTGCTATCATCTTCATCTTGGAAACCCCTGGATGACCCTGGTGGAGTTCTGCCAGTATCTAGTGGCAATCTTTACTTGGGACCATCACCCTTGCTCCCCAAAGTAATATGCTGTCCTCTACAATGATCTGGTCTCGCCTGGTCTGGAAAGGTTGCAATGGCCCTTCTGTTTCCCTCATTACTACCTGATGTTTTAGTTTTGCTAGGACAGGATCTTTTTGTGCCCCCAGTCGGATATTGTCCGCAGTGACCAGAAGGGTGTCCAGGAAGTTCAAAACCAAAATGGACTCTTCCAGGAGAGGCGGTGGAGTATCTACCAGTGGGAGGTGGCTTAAGGCATCAACATCAGCCACTTGGCTTCCTGGATGCTATTCTAACTGGTACTGTACAGGCTGAGAATAAAGGCCCAATGCTGAATTCGACCAGAAGCTATGGGCGGCACCACCACCTTGTCTGCCTTCAGTAGCCCTAGCAGGGGTTTGTGATCTGTTATTATGACAAATTCTTGTCTGTAAGGGTACTGGTGGAATTCACACCAAAGATGACTACCAAACCTTCCTTCTCTATCTGGGCATATTTGCGTTCGGCATCAACCAAGGTCCGGCAAGCATACTCTATCCGGCATTCCTCTCTGTTGGGTCACCGGTAAGCCACCACTACCCCGATGGGAAACAGGGAGGCATTGCATGTCAGCATTACCTCTTACTTCGGATCATAATGGGCCAAAACCTTAGATGACAACAGTTGCTTTTTCACTTCCCTAAAGGCTACTTTTTGGGCTACATGACCATTTCCAAGGCTGATCTTTTTTCAGTAGCAGCTGTAAAGGTGCCAAGATGAAGGCCAGGTCACATATGAACTTTCTGTAATAATTCACTAACCCAAGGAAAGACCTAAGCTCTGGTACAGAAATGGGAGCTGGGGCACCTTTGATCACCCTCATTTTCTGTTCCAACAGGTGTAACCCAGTTTTGTCGACTGTGTAACCCAGGTAGGTCACTTGGGGTGCCTGGTACACACATTTCTCCTGTCTAAGGCATATGCCCGCCTAGGAGAAACGTCTCAGCACTATGCCCAAGTCTTCCGAGTTCTCTTTATTTGGTCTTCCCTGTTATTAATATGTCATACGGTAAATGGCAACATGGAGTAGTCCTTGTAAGATGTTCTCCATGGTCTGCTGGGAAAGGGCGCAGGCTGATGATACCCCAAATGGCAGTCTTGTATATTGGTATAAATCCTTATGGGTAAATTGTAGCCTACTTTTGGGACTCCTCATCCAATTGCAATTGCATGTAGGCATGGCTCATGTCCAGCTTCATAAAGTACAGAACCCCCCATCCACAACACCCCACCACCCCATGTCCAACCCCCACCACCAACTTTGCGTACAAGTCCTCTATGTGGGGGATTGGATATCTATCCAGCTGCGAGAAGCGGTTTACCATTTGTTTAAAATCCCCACAAAGGCTAACTGAGCCATCAGGGTTCACAATCAGTACAAGCTGTGCTACCCATTCTGCAAACTGCACTGGTTTGATGATTCCTTTGCTCTCCAGCCTCCTGATTTCCGCCTCTACTTTTACCCACAAGACAAATGGCACCAGGCGGGCCTTGCAAAATCTCGGAATTGCTTCCTGGTCAACAACTAAAGTGCCTTTAGCCCCCTTGATAGTCCCAAGCCCTTCCTGAAAAACTCCTGGGTATTTCACTAGGACTTCACCGAGGCAGCCATTTTCTAACCGAAAAATGTTGAGTCAATCCAGGTGAATCTTTCTCAACAATTCTGCCCCAATAGGCTTGGGCCTGAGCCTTTTACTACCATCAGTGGTAACTGCGCCAACTGCTTCTCATGGGTGACTGGAACAGAAGTCGTACCCTTTATTTACTTATGCACAGTACATTGGCTGTAGCCAGCCAGCTTGGAGTCAGTCCCCTAAACTGAGGAGAATCTAATATCCTGGTCATACTGGTCAGCCGGGGCTTTCCTGATTGGCCCAGGTTAACAACCCCAATCAAAGACCTCGTAGTCAACAAGGTCCATCTGGTTACAATCGTACAGAAACAAAACCCATTTCTTCACAGGGATACATCCACAGCACAAATGGTAGACCATCATCATCAGTATTGAAAATAAACCGTGTATATCAAACGACAACTCTATGAGGATGACTGCAGCAGGTGATGGAATGGCTTTGTATTGGTGCGATGGAGATCCTGTTCTGACAGTGGACATTACGGAGGTAAAGCAGAGGATATTTGTCATAGCTAACTAGCTGCCAAGAAAACTGCTGGCAGATGTCAAGAAAAATTGGTAGTCGTGTTAGAATCCAGCCCAATGATACTTAATGCAGTAACAAGTCCTTCCACAATGAGGGATTTACGGTTTTAATTTACAGAGTTTTAATTTGGTTTATTTGCTTACCTGTGGCTAGACTCTAATGACCTGTAATAAACAGTGATTTCTTGTTAAGTACAGAAGCTTGGTCCGTGCTCTCTATCAACCTAGGTCTGATGACATCAGGAATGGCAGGGTTTGATTTCCAGTGAGCTATCCCAGTGAGTTGTGACACTATAAAAAATCCCATTCTGTGTAATGTTCACATTGTCAAAAAGAAACTTGTTATAAAAAGAATGCTGCCACAATCCTACTGGACCATAGCGCTGCTCTCTCATTAGACAGAGACAACTGGTGGTGGTTTTAACCTGAGGTTCACCATGTCTCAGGCAAGGGGAGAGACTGAGTTGATAACCGCAGCAAGAACTTAACTCATTCTGCATCACAAAGCAGCCATCCAGCCAAAGCTAAGAAACGCCTTGTTGATATCAGCCCGTAAGTGATCTATTACCAGTGTTTAATTATAGACGTATTCTGAATTTAACTTGCTTTATCTGGCTGTGTTGTTTATTGTTTTAACTTTATTTATTAATTTCTAACTTATACTATGAATCACTGTAAGGTAATGTAGCATTGTTTTCTTTATTTCTCAGTTTTGTATTGAAGATTTGTACCGACATACTTTGTCCCTAAGATGGCGCTGTGAAAGGCGACATTTTAAACTTTTCACTGTACCCCTGTACTTGAGTTCATGCTACAACAAACTTAATTCTAATTCTAAATCAATAGCCTGTGATTCTCCACAATGAAAGTTTGGGCTAGAATTGTCGGAGAAATTATCAAGATCCAATGATGTACTGTTTTCAGAATTATTTAGCTTCAGGCAGCTTTATGATGGATTAAATTTTTTTCTTTATTCATTCAGGGTATGAGGGCATTGCTGGCTAGGTCAGCATTTATTGCCCATCCCCAATTGCCCAGATGGCAGTTATGAGTCAACCACATTTCTGTGGGTCTGGAGTCACATGTAGGCCAGGCCAGGTAAGGATGGCAGTTTCTTTCTTAAAGGACATTAGTGAACCAGGTGGGTTTTTCCAACAATCAGCAATGGATTCATGGTCAATATTGGACTCTTAATTCCAGATATTTATTGAATTCAAATTCAACCATCTGCTGCGGCAGGATTCAAACCCAAGTCCCCAGAACATTATCTGGGCCTCTGGATTAACAGTCCAATGACAATACCACTAGTTCATTGCCTCCCCATAACTTGAATAAATTTGAAACATGATACATGATGCAGTGTACCTGAACCAAACTTTGAGTCAGATAGTGAAATCAGTGGATTAATACACATGGAGTGACACATTCATTGATGACGTACTCTGATAGATAACTTTAATTACTCTTTATTGTTCAATCTTTGTTTTGTCCTTATGTTCTTCAATCTGGGTTGGATTCTAATTAGTTTTCTTGGAAGAAAAGTTGCTATTCATAATTACATTCATTTTTTGAAATGTACTGTGCAGATACACATTGTCAGAAGTTTATTCCATGATTCTGTAATCCAGAACTTAGGCCTGAAAGTGCAATCATGTCACGTTTTATTCAAGTACACTGCCAACTTCATTAGAAGATGCCCAAACTTGAAATGTAAAATGGGTGAAATCTCCTGATATTTGGACAAACAATCAGGAAACACAAAATAGACACCATTTGTTTTTTCTTGAAGTACGAAAATTTTTTTAAGTTTTGATTTTTTTTCAGCCACCCATTCACACACAAAGAAAGAATCTATGATCTTCAATTTTAACATAATTTGTATTTATGCCACACAATACATTACAATGCAATCAAAGAAACAAAAAAAATGTAGAAACAAAATCAGGATCAAATTCAGCAGACCTGGCAACATCTGTGGAGAGAAAGCAGAGTTAACATTTTGGGTCTAGTGACCCTTCTTTAGAATTGACTCTAGCTAGAAAATGGTTAGTATATATTCTAAAGATGGGGGGATGGTGAAGGAGTAAATGATAGGAGCCCAGAGAGAAAGAAAAACAATGGACAGACAAATGGGTAAAGGTCAGCCTTGGAGAATCAACAGCTGCTAATGGGACCATTAGTGGCTGCCAATGAGTTGGTTGTGATGGCTGGGAGAGTTGGGGTAAGGATATGGGAGAAGTTGCTCAGGCCCTAACATTGTTGAACTCAATTTTGAGTCCTGAAGGTTGCAGGATTCCCAAGCAGAAAATGAGATGTCGTTCAGCTTGCACAAATAAAGAATGTAGAATAGGTCTTAGGCAGTATTGAAAAAATAGCTCACAATCTGGCAGGAAACAAAACACAATTGGAGACAAATTGGAGACTCTTGGGGTGTTAGCCAGTCATGTGGGCACTGAATAATTTGGATGAAGGGCTTAATGGACGGCAATAAAAGATCAGGTAGACTTAGGAGTATTATGACAATAAGAGATCTTTAAACTCAATGATTTGCATCCAGATTATACAGATTCTGGCTGAGCTACAGAGGTATTGTCCAAGCATCATGTCTGAGCTCAAACACACCCAAAGAAAGCAACTGTGTTTCAAACATAATATTTCTAAAAAGTCAAATATTTTCAGAGATTTGCTCTTACCAATGCTTCACGCCCTTCTTCAAGGTTGAAGGTCAGGTCATGGTGGATGTCAGCTAGGAATTTGCTTGAATATTCAGGATAGAGTTCCAATACCTCACTCAGGCCTCGCAAACTAATGTACTGCAGGTCACAATAAGTTAATGCTTTAACATCAGCATTTGTTTTAATCACCTTGCCCTTGGTTGAAAGGTCTGCGCCGATCAGGTCCCCTTTACCTGGAAAGGAAAACAGTGCACAGTACCTGAAGGCATCAATTAAGCTCAAATACAAATCTTTTTGGTGGTATGAATTGGGGAAAATGATCATGCACAGGGTTGACTTGACTTACGTTGAGACCTAAAACAGGAGCGAAGGCAGAACTACTATGAAAAGGTTGTCTACAAATAGTTTAAGAATATAGGTTGGAAAAGGCTTGTGCTGTGTTTAAACAGTTGGGCTAAATAACTTGCTTCTGTGGTGTAAATTCTATGTATGTAAACAGTATCTATGAGGTCTTGTGTTGCAGTGCCAATGAACCAGAAGGATTGAGTCCAAGCCCCACTCCAGAACGTGATGGCCAAGGAAGATGTATTCATAATACAGTCAAACAAGTTGAGTATCATCCTGAAAATTCTTCCACATCAATGGCAGGCAGCACAGAGAGCAAGATTCCTGGTCTGTCATGTGTTGGAAAGAACATTGGAGCATCTACCATCACAATCCATAGCTCCAGGATGCATCGTGCAGCTGCTACAACAACTGGCTGTCTCACTGACCTATAACACACTACCACCAAAAATATCTATATTTGCAGACATTTCCACCAAATAATTGTTAAAGAAGTGAAACCAGGGTATGATGCTTCAAAGAATCCACCTCTCCATTTACCATTACAATTCAATCAAAACTCAAATTTAGTATTTATCACTTAGTCAAAACCACTGAGATTGGGCAGAATAATAGAACTGATGTTTTGAGTAACAACATGTGTCCTGGTTCTCTCCCCATGCGGTGAAATTCCAGTCTTTATCATGCTGTTAGAATGAGAGGTGACCCAACCCTTCTTCACTGTGAACTAAGTTCTTCTTTATTGAGCTTCCTTACATTTCACCAAAACTACTCGACATTATATAATGTATCTAGTAATGGTCAGTCACAAAATACTGCTGTTAAAGCCTGGTGTTGGAAACTCAGATGGAAGACCTCAAGCAGGAGGTTTGAAACTTCCTTAGAAAATGGAGCCTAATTTTGACAATTACTGTATATTTCTTCATAGGAGTTGGTTAGCTCAGTTGACTGGATAGCTGATGAGTGATGCCAACAGTGTAGATTCAATTCCTGCATTGGCTGCAGTTACCATGAAGGACTCTCCTTCTCAACCTTTCTCCTTGCTGAGGAATGGGGAGTCTCAGATTAAACCATCTCTAGACATCTGTCTCCAATAAGAGAGCAGCCCTATGGTCCAGGAGGACTGTGGTGACTTTATGTCTTTGTAAACGCAGAGTGGAAAAATGTATTTTTAGCTTACCCCCCAACCCTGCAGCCCACTAATAATACTTTAACTTTTCTCCCAGAGTCTCAAGCTAACTACTTTCAGACTAGGTAATCATGAAAACCTGACTGTCAGACAATTACCTCCAATTTTCTTACAATTTACTGTTTGAGCTTGCACAAACATATTTTCTACTCAGTATGGTTTGACTGTACATGATCACATTTTCATTTTATCTATATACGATCAATGAACTGACTGATGAGCAGGAGATGATTATTTAATTTAAAAAATGTATATCTTTGAATCAAGGATTTCTTCAGAAACACTTTCAATTGAGCATTAATCATTTGGTTAACACCAGCATCACTTCACAATGGGAGGCTGATTTTGAATCCAGGCTGGATGGGTTGAGAAGGTTCTCCACCTACGAGCTGTGAGTATCCTACATTAAATGAGTTTCAAATTTTTTTTTCACTACTTCCTAAAGGTTACAATTTAATGTCACCAGAACTGGTTGACAACTGCTTTTTCAACATTTGTTATTTCGACAGTTGAAGATTGTAAAAAATCCATCAAGTTCACCGAGAACTAGAATAAAATCAAAGGTCTAGATTTATGATTTTAAACTTTGCAAAATCATCATTTTTAGGAGCATATTTAAAGTTGTTAATTTATGTCAGTACTTTGCTTTTATCAATCCAATTGTTACTTTTACAGGTATGAATCATTAAAGTTTGTCTAAACTGGTCAATTTAATATTGCATTAGTTTTCTTCTGAAGGTGATGTATTTTGAGTTCCTCCAGGCTCTCTTTTCATTATAAATACCAAATAAGATTTTTCTTTTTGTGAATCAATTTGTTATTTCTCGAGTCTAGAGACTACAAACACCCAGGAGGTTATTGTGAAGAACTGGTCTGTTTCTAATAAACCTGACTGAACCAAATAGAAAATCCCAAGATCTACATGGGTTGCAAGGAAAATTACATCTCACTTCAGTCTTTTTTCTGAGCGCTGCAAAGTCATGCAGTGCTGACAGGATTTGCTGCCTGCCTAACGTAGCTTTTGAATCATTAAAGCCTTCTTCAGAACAACCTCCTCACTCACAGAAAGTACTGCAGAATCAGTTTATAATCAGCTGCTGCCTTGAACATTTTAGTAATAACAGGAAGGATGAAAGGAGAGTATAGTGATTGTAATGAGGTCAGCCAGGTGGACCTCAGAATATGAATTCCCTGATTGGGGCTGTTAATCTGGTCCAGTCAGGGAATCCTGGCTGACAGATATAAACAGGAGTGTCAGAGGTTCTGTTCACTCTGAGAGCTGGCCCTGAGGCAGCTAGATCAGTGTCAAGGACTCCCCACGTGTAAATAAAGAGTGACTCAGTGACGGAATACCGACCTCTGTGGAGTTATTTCAGAGACAATAAAGCAAATTGTTTAATATTTGAATATGAGTTAGAAGGGGTTTGCAAATAAAAAAACCTGACAACAGTTCCTGTTTCTGCAGTGCCTATTATATACAGAGCCTCAACAAAAGTACTCTCTCCTACTCATATTATATAAACCTGTAGCTTAGCAACAGCAGCAATATTGATGCTGGTTTTCAGCACAAAAACAAAACAAACTGATTGGTGTTTTGACAGAAACTTAACCTGTTCCAGGGGCAGTGTTGCTCAAATGAGGCTGCATCATTTTAAGGAGACTACATTTGGAACCTGATGTAAAGAAAAACCACGAAGATTGAAAAATCTATAAACCAGCTGTGGCTTGAAATTTACATCAGTTTCCTCAGTGCGCTCGCAAAATCTTTTTATATATAAATTCCTTCTAATCAAGCAAACTAGTGGACTTTGATTTTAACAGTCAAACAATAATTATTTGTCTCATCCTTTCTTCACACTCTACACTTGTCAGCTTGTTGTAGCATTGGCATCTTGGAATCAAAGGTTTGTGAGTTCAAGCCCCACATTGGGATTTGTGCAAATAATCTAAACTCTATTATTTGTGCAAATAATCTATTACTGAAGAAATGTTAGTTTGTTGGGAATTATTAGCCATTCAAGGGAATGCAGAAGATTCCACGAGACTATTTTGCAGATAAGTAAGGAATTCTTCAGAATTCTATGTTTCAATTGTTTGTTCATTTCATTTGCTATTTCTGGTGCTGTTTAGCTGCACATAGAATGAAGACTACACTTCCAAAAAATACAGTAATTAATTGGATGTGAAACAAGTTGTGCCATCCAAACTGAATTGTTTTGGCAGCTGGCACTGTAATTGAGCCATTTTTTTCTCTCAACCTTCACTAGTAAAGTGTCAAATTTAATGCATGGAGCTTTCTGCTCTTTGCAAGTCCAAATCCTTCCTGATTGCCAATAGCAAAACAGTAATGGAAATGCTGCATATAATGTAAATTTATAACATTGATTTTAAAATGAAACATAGAATTAAAGCATATAACATAGGTTCCAAGTTTGTTTAGTGTACAGCCAAGCCATATTAAATAGGCTAAACTATATGCTTGGATGAGACACCTTTGCCTTGGCCAATCAGGCTAGCAGCTAGCCATCAACAACAAACAGCAAACTTCCTATCGAAAACCGGTGGACACCAAGACACCACTTTTGTTCTTACTTGTTCATGAGATGTGGCTGTCACTGGTTGGACCTGTATTTATTGCTCATTCCTAAAGACCATTTCAGAGGACAGATAAACAAAAACATTGTTGCAGATCTGGAGTCAGATTAAAGCCAGAGCATGTAAGGATTGCCTAAAGGAAAGAATAGACTAGCATTTAACTCCAGGTTTTTATGCCATTCAGATTTCACCATGGTGGGATTCTAGCCTTCATTCCCAGAACATTGCCTTGGGATCTTATAGACTAGTCCAGTGTTGCCAGTGATAGTCCACTATGCTACTGCCTCCCCCTAAACTACTAGTCAAACCATCTAGCCCTCCTCAGCCACCTGAGGTGAAATAGGGACATTTGGTTTCTCAGGTTACTGAAGCACTAGAGGGAATAAAGAAAACAGTTAAGAAAAACTGGGGAATGAAGGTACTGGTGTTCTATTTTCAGGGATACAAGGCAAGTCAGACCAGTATGTATCATTTCTCAAGTTTTACAATTTTTACCTTCTGTAGCAGTGAATCCAACAGCAGGAAGGCAGTAACAGAAGCAAGAAAATCAAAGGAGCAGAAGAGGCATTGGTGTCATCTGTAACTCAGAATCATCAGAAGCGATAAAGGCAGTTGAAAAAGAGTGGGAGAAGTGGTAGAGGTAGCAGTAAGAGGCATTAGATACAGCAAAAGTCAGCTGTATCAATTATCTCACACTCTCCCCCAATGAGCTGTGAATCACTGTGATTGCTGTCCAATCACTGACTACACATTCTCTGCTGTCTCCCTTGCTGTACGGTCTGTCAGTTTGGAGCAGGGGAGGAATTCTATTGGGTGGAAGTTTGAGACATATAAAGATACCCATAACAATCAAAAATAAATCTTTCCTCTAAAATACTTAAGTGGGTACATGCTCTGTATCTGTGTGTCCTTGCAATTGCACTCTGCTAACCCCCAGTTATGATAGACTGTTTTCTTCCACTATTCCCTCAGTTCACAGAATCAATCTTTATCAGGTCCTGTTTGCTGCCACTTTGCTGAGAGATTTCATTCCATATTTCAAACTCAAACTGTTCTTGAAAGAAAACTAGGTCAAAAAGCAAATATTGAAAGTTACAGAATGAGAATGGGAAATTGATTAGTCTAGGCAGCTCATGGAGAAAAAGACTTAATAGGCCAAATGAGCTGTGTTTGCCCCACAATATCTTATAATTCAGTGCCGGGGTGCAAAATTCAAATCATTCATGACTAGGTCCAGTGCAGGAAAATTTGTGATTCAATAGCACTTCTGTTACCACTCATAGTTCCACCCTCAACATATGAAGACCCAGATTGAAAAAGCAGTCAGCATGGGACAATAAAAACTGAAATATGATGGACCATCCTTAAAATAATGAGTGAAGTTTAAATTCCTGAAGATTGTTTACAAGCATTGATGCAAGATGTTAAACATTGTATGCCTGCCCAAAATGAGATAAGTTGGCACAAATGCCAGGTTGGTTTAAGTAGCAGTTTGCTGAAGTTGCTTAAAGCTGACATACTGAGAATTGCAAAACTGATCTGTGTATGGAAGAACACCTGTACTTAAGAAGCCAAAATTAGATCAAAGAAACTTCTCATATTCTATAACAGTATACATGACTCACTGTGCTGATAGCTGAATAGGGCTCTAGAATTCCAATCTTAAACCCCTCTATTACTCTCTTCTCCTTTAAAACCTACATTTTTGGTCATCCGATGACCACATTGCAAAATGCATAAAATGGAATGTGAAAAGCCAAAAACTCAGTGCAAATGCTGCTAGCTCTTACCAAGAATGGCCAATACCATGTTGTCTTTGAGAACTTCCATTGAGCCTGAACACACAAAGTAGTTTGCCTGCAAGGCATCGCCCTGTCTGATGAGGTACTCTCCTGGGGCACAGAAAGATGTTTTGATGTGGAGAGACAGTGATCTCAGGCACCCACGACTGGCCGATATAAAGAGGGGTAACTGCAGAATTTCCTTGTTCAGGTGCATGGCAATATCGGCACGTAGCTCATCTGGGAAATCTCGTAAAAGCTGCAGAACGTGAAGTGAAAATTTGAATATCAATCTCAGCATGTGTTTTCATACAAAGGAGTTAAGATATAGTCCTTAGGGTTAAAGGGATCAAAGGGAATGGGGCAAAAGTGGGAACAGGGTACTAAGTGGTCAGCCATGATCATATCGAATGGTGGAACAGGCTTGAAGGGCTGAATAGCCTACTCCTGCTTCTACTTTCTATCTTTCTATGTACAGAACACAATGCACACTCTCAATAGTGTAAATTTAAGGTATAGTTTGAAGTTAAGAAGTCTTTTTTTTGGTGCATCAATCATTTCTATTAAAGAGATCAGATGTCAATGTAGTGTAGATCTGGAGGAACACAGCAGG